TATCTGAAAGCCATGATCAAAAAAAGAACCTAGATATCATTATTCAAGAAATTATCAAGGAAAACTGCCTTGATATTTTAGAACCAGAGGGCAAAATAGAAATTGAATCCATCAATCACCTCCTGAAAGAAATCCTAAAAGAAAAACTCCTAGGAATATTGTAGCCAAATTCCAGAGGTCCCAGGTCAAGGAGAAAATATTGCAAGCAGCCAGAATGAAGCAGTTCAAGTATTGTGGAAACACAATCAGGGTAACATAAGATTTAGCAGCTTCTACATTAAGGGACCACAGGGCATGGAATATAATATTCCAGAGGGCAAAGGAGATAGGATTACAATCAAGAATCACCTACCTAGCAAAACTGAGTATAATCCTTCAGGGGAAAAAATGGTCATTCAGTGAAATAGAGGACTTTCAAGCATTCTTGATGAAAAGACCAGAGCTGAATAGAAAATTTGACTTTCAAATACAAGACTCAAGTGAAACATGAAGAGGTAAACAGGAAAGAGAAATCATAAGAGACTTATTAAGGTTGAACTGTTTACAGTCCTGCATGGAAAGATGATATTTTTAACTCTTGAGACCTTTGTCAGTATTAGGGTAGTTGGAGGGAAAAAATTATGTGTATGAATAGATAGATAGATAGATAAACAGATAGATAGATAGATAGATAGATAGATAGATAGATAGATAGATAGATAGATAGATAGATAGATAGATAGATAGAGGGCACAGGGTGAGTTGAAGATGAAGGAGTGATATCTGGAGAATAAAATTAAGTGGTGAAAGAGGATTATACTAGGAGAAGGAGAAAGGGAGAGGTAAAATGGGATAAATTATCTCACAAAAAAATAGACAAGAAAAGGCTTTTACAGTGGAGGGGAAATGGAGGGAATGAGCGAATCTTATTCTCATTAGGTTTGGCTTAAGGAGGGAATAACATACACACTCAATTGGGTATGGAAATCAATTTTACCCTACAGAAAAATGGGAGGGGAAGGGGGACAAGAGAGCAGGGGGATGATAGAGGGGAGGGCAGATTGGGGGAGGGGGTAATCAACAGCAAACACTTAGAAGGAGGGACAGGGTCGAAAGAAAGAATAGAATAAATGAGGGGCAGAATAGGATTAAGGGAAATAGAGTTAGTTTTTCACAACATGACTACTATGGAAGTATTTTTCATAACTGCACATGTATAACCTGTTGCTTGCCTTTTCAATAAGGGTGGGTGAGGAGGGAGGAAGGGAGAAAATTTGGAACCCAAAGTTTTAAAAACACATGTTTTAAAAAAAATGTTTTCACATGCAACTGGGAAATAAGAAATATAGGAAATGGGATACAGAAATCTATCCTGCCCTATAGGAAAATAGAAGGGGAAGGAGATAAGAGAAGGGGGGAAGACAGAAGGGAGGGCAGACTAGGGGAAGGGGTATTCAGAATGTATGCCATCTTGGAGTGGGGGGAGGGATGAGATGGGGAGAAAATTTGGAACTCAAAATCTTGTAGAAGTGAATGTTGAAAACTAAAAATAAATAAATTTAAATTAAAAAAAAGACAAGGAAAGGCTTTTACAGTGGAGGGGAAATGGGGGTAGGTGAGAGGGAATGAGTGAATCTTATTCTCATCAGGTTTGACTTAAGGAGTGAGTAACATACATACTCATTTGGGTATGGAAATCTATCTTACCCTACAGGAGAATGAGGGGGAAGGGGATAAGAGAGCAGGGGGATGATAGAGGGGAAGGCGGATTTGGGGAGGGAGTAATCAGAAGCAAACACTTCTGAGCAGGAACAGGGTCAAAAGAGGGAATAGAAGGGAGAGCAGATTAGGGTAAGGGATATTTAGAATGCATGCCATCTTGAGGTGGGGGAAGGGATGAAATGGGGAGAAAATTTGGAACTCAAACTCTTGTGGAAGTGAATGTTGAAAACTAAAAATAAATAAATTAATAAGACTCAAAAAAAAAAAAGGGCATGGTAATTATTTAAGCTACCTGTGCCCAAAGTACAAAACAATATAGGGAGTACTAGCTTCTATTTGAGATTAAATAAAAAAAATATATTCTTTGGAAATTCACCTTTTAAAAATTGTGTGTGTCCTTTTGGAAAAGAAAACTGACATCAAAGCTATTGGAAATAATTGAACTAAATTATCTGTTTATGAAGGAGAGATAAGATAGGTACCCAACTTAGATACAGAATATAGTGTGAAAAGTGCTTATTAGAGGTAGCAACAGCTGCTATGAAAATTCAGAGGATGAGAGAGGTCATATTTGGCTGCAGATCAGAGAAGTCTTCATAGAAAAGGTTAGCCTTGAAAAATGAGTGGGTAGGATTTCATTTTTAATAGTATTTTATTTTTTCTAATTACATGTAATAACAAATTTTAACATCATTTAAAAATTTTGAGTTCCAAATTTTCTCCCTCCCTCCTTCACTTCCCCTTTCCCTAAAATAGTAAGCAATTTAATATAGGTTATATATATGTAATCATGTAAAACATATTTCCGTATTAGTCATACTATGGAAGAAGAAATGGATCAAAAGAAAAAAATCATGAAAATAATAAAGAAAATGAAAGTAGTATGTTTTGATATATATTCATGCTCTGTCAATTCTTTCTGTGGACATAAATACATGAGACCTTTCCAATTGTCTTGGAACATTGTATTGCTGGGAATAACTAAGTCATTCATAGTTGGTTATCATATAGTGTTGCTGTTATTGTGTAACTGTACACACTTCACTTTGCATTAGTTCGTGTAAATCTTTCCAGGTTTTTCTGAAATCCACCTGCTCATCATTTCTTAAGGAATAATAGTATTCCATTACATTCATATACCACAACTTGTTCAGCTATTCTTGACTTGATGGACATACCCTCAATGTCCAATTCTTTGCCACCACAAAAAGAGCTGCTATAAATATTGTTGTACGAGTAGGTCCTTTTTTTCCTTGTTTTTTGATCTCTTTGGGATACAGACCTAATAGAAGTGGTATTACCAGATCAAAGGGTATACAGTTTTATAGCCCTTTGGGCATACTTCCAAATTGCTCCCCAGAATGGTTGGATGAGTTCATAACTCCAACAACAGTGCATTAGTGTGTGGGTAGAATTTCAACCCAAGGAATTGTGTATGTGTTTATGTTCATGTCTAAGGGTTACAGGGTACATTCCAGGCAGAGGGAATGATGTGAATATAGGCATATAGGTGGAAAACATGGAATGTGTTTGGTAAACACTGAGTAAGCTAATTTGACTGGAGTATAGGAGATGCAAAATATAGTAAGTGGGATCTGATAGTGTAGGCAGTTGTAAATATGATTTTCAAAACTCCATAATCTGATTGATGCCAGATTACTGAAGACCTTGAGTGCTGTACTAAAGAATTTGTTCTTGATTTAGAAATAATAGTGAATTGCTTTGAACTGAAAGGTGATACAGAGTCATTGGATCTAGAGCTGACAGGGACCTACGAGGCCATTTAGTTCAGTCCCCTTATTTTACAGGCTAGTCAATTGAGACCCAGTAAGGTAAAGTGGGTTTGGCTTAAGGAGGGAATAACATAAACACTCAATTGGGTATGGAAATCTCATGATCAGAGATGTATGTTAGAATGATTAAAAGGGCAGCAGCAAGAAAAACTGGAAGAAGAAAATCAAGTGAAGAAGACTAGGCAGGGCACAGGCTGTGGAGTCAGGAGGATCTGAGTTCAAATCTGACTTCAGACACATAACACTCACTAGCTGTGTGACTCTGAACAAGTCACTTAACCCCAATTGTCTCACCAGAAAAAAAAAGATTCTGGGAAGAAGACTAGGTAGAAGTCTCTTATAGTAATCTTGGACATGAGATGGTAAATCCAGACACAACAGACAAGAAAGAGAAAAACCCAAAAGCTATTTTAAGGATAGAAAGCCAGATTTAGGTGACATTAGGTAGAGGTATTGTGGGTAAAAGATGAAAAGGCTGAGGAAACAAAGGTTCAAGCTTCCAGGCACTTTTATTTGTTAAGCAGTTCATGCCAATTGCCTAGAAAATCGGGACCAAGCCCCTTCCTCAGCTTAGGGCTACACCCTGAATACAGGTGGAGACAGACTTTTATACATTAAAAACAATTAATCAAAAAAGGCCAGTTAATTAGAAGGAAACAATACAGCATTAGTCATCTGATTTCTAATTAGATGAAAGATTAGGGACTTCCCAAATTCGGTGGAAGAGAGCAAACAAGTTCAATTCCCTGAAATCAGAAAGGGAAGTGTCCCACTCCTCCTAAGTATCTGTAAACAATCAAAAACAATATTTGATTGATTAATATGAGGGCCAATTTTCAGATAAGACATATGGGTTGCTTGAAATGTACAATTGTCAGGAAACTCATTGTATCCATCTTTTGTCTGACTAGGTTTCTGGTCAACATTATGTAGGATCTTGATTAAGGGTCTCTAAGCAGTAGGTAGAGGTAGTCTAACTTCCCAGTCACTCAGAACTAGATTCAAACAATAAAATAAGATTTTTTCCCAATTTCTACACTTGAATAAAGTTTTCTCACAAGACATAATTTGGTCCAGAGCGATAATTGAATAGAAAGAGAACTGAGCTAGATCCAGAATTGAGTCTTAAGATGGAGTCAGGGTGGTTTACTCAATTTCCACAATTGCTGTTCTATTTCTAGCTCAATTTCCTCGAAGAGAATACAGGGAAATTGAAAGTCAAATAGGATTCTAAGGTTTTTAGAACAGTCAATAAGCATCTATTAAATGCCTATAGTCTCTCTATGTTTGAGAGAATGGATATACTTGGATAGAAGAGTTCATTTGAATGAATGTCCATAGAGTCCCAAGAGATGTTGATTTCTGTTCTGGGTTTATTGTAGGCAGCTGGAAATAAAAAATGAAAAACTCAGTTTTTGAAGTAATTGTTGAATAGATTTCTGTCCCTATGCTATTTTTATCATTAATTATACTTTTTATAATAATATTAGTTATTGTTTTCTGAAGGCATTGCTTGAAGAGAAACAAAAAGAAGAAGATATTGAGAAAATGAAAGAAACAATTTCTCAACTTGTACAAGACGCTGCTATACGAACCAGGAAAGAAGTAAGAGATTTGTAATTTTATTAATGTTTAAAATAAAAATAGAAAAATACACACATAATAACTTAACATTGCATACTGTCTTAATAGGTGTTTGCTGGGACACCTACATGAAGAATAAACAGATAATTGCATTTTCAGTAAAGGCTTGTGAAATAGTTTTGAAGAAATTTACTTGAATTAGTGAGTGTGTGTGTGTGTGTGTGTGTGTACTCTCAAACACATGCAACAGACACAGAAACACAGAGAGACAGAGCAAGTGGAGAGAGAGGGAAAACAGACAGACATACAAAGAGAAGGAAAAGAAAGAGGATATGAGGTTTCTGGACCAAAGCGACTGAAGTGGAGAGGACCATGGAAGAGACTAAAAGAAGAGACTTTAAAAGAAATTTATAACCAGAAAACTGAGACCCAGTTATTTTTGCAGTATAGTGAAGTAAAAACAGTGTTGCATGTGGATTTGTTGGACTCAAGTTCAAATCTGAGCTCTTCCATTTAAAAGCTTTGAAATAGAATTAAAATTCAAGAGACTTACGAGCCTAAACCATAACTGAAAGAAATCCTCACTGTAACATTCCTGACAAGTAGTCATCCAACCTGTGCTTAAAGATCTCCAAGGAGAGGAAACCCACTATTTTTCAAGGCAGTCCATTATACTTTTGGATAACTCTTAATTGTTAGAAAGGTTTTCTGGACATCAAGCTTAAATTTGCCTCTTTACAATTTCTACCCATTGTTCCTAGTTCTGCCTTCTGAAGCCAAACAGAACAAATCTAATCTCTTTCACAGGACAGCTCTTTAGGGGCGAGGAAAAGAGAAGGGCATAAACATGTATTAAGTGCCTGCTATGTACCAGGCTGTGCCAAGCACTTTACAAATATTATCTGATTTGATCTTCACAACATTCCTGGGAGTTAGGTGCTATTACTATCACTATTTTGCAGATGAGGACACTGAGGCAGACAGAGGTTAAGGGACTTGTCTGGAGTCATAGAGCTAGTAAGTGTCTGATAACGTTTGAACTCAGGTCTTCCTAATTCCAGGCCCAGCACTCTATCCAGGTTACCACCAAGCTGCCTTAATACATGAAGACAGCTATGATGTCTTCAGAGTCTCCTCTTCTGTAAGCTAAACACTCCCAGTTCCTTCAATAGATCTTCATTTGACATGAATTCAAGCAAGACCCTTCACTCTGCTGTTTGCTTTTCTCTGGATACTTAACCACTTATCAAAGTACTTCTTAAATGGTGATGCTCTGAACACTAGATACTATCTCTCTGAGTTTTTGTAACTACTCTCTTGATTCTTCTTTACCTTGCTAACAACTTTTTTCCAATGTCCTTTGCTAGATCTTCATTCATGCCACGTCCACTAACTCTGGGTATCTCCAAGACTCTGTCCTGGCCCCCTCACTGTTCTCTCTATGCTAACTTGTTTGGTGACCTCATTGGATACTGTGGATTCAATGATCATCTTTGTGCAAATGATTCCCACTACCACATCACGCTGTTGATTCATGTTGATTCAATCTATTAAAATCCCTAGAATCTTTTTACGGAAACTCCATCGTCTATATCTCCATCATCTTGTACTTATAAGGTTGATTTTTCTGAAACCAAGTGTAAGACTTTACATTCATCCCTACTGAATTTCTTCTTACTAGGTTCTGCCCAGTGCTCTAGTCTTTCATTCAATATAAAAATGTCCCTCCCAGCTTTGTGTCACTGAAGATTTCATGAGCATGTCATCTGTGTCTTTATCCACTTGATTAAAATGTAACACAGGATCAAGTACAGATCTGATGATATCCTTCCGGGTCAGTGTTGGACCATTAATGACTACTCTATTGGACTTTGCCCATACAATCAACTGCTGATCCATCTAATTGTATTATCACATAATGCACTTTTCTCCATTTTTTCCCCCAAGAAGAGTATGAGATTATTTATGAAGTGGTTTGCTAAAAATCTAAGCAAACAATATCTACACATGCCCCTGATTTACTAGTTTAGTAATTATGTCAAAAAAAAGTTTAAAAAAATTGCTTTTTATACTCACTACTTCCTTTTCTAGATGCTCATTAACAGTCTCCTAGAGGATCTATCCTATAATTTTTCCAGGCACTAGAGTCAACCTCACTGGTATGCAGTTTGTGAATTATGTTCTTCATTTGTTCTTGTTTTTTAAAAAAGAGAACAGCATCCATCATTATCTAGACCTGTATTCCCTTTCCTGTTTTCTGTGATCTTTCATATATCACTTACAATGGCCTAGTGATCCTATTAGCCATTCCTTCAGTACCCAAAGATTTAGACAACATGAATTCATCATCATCTAGGCTGTCTTCATACTACCTCCTCATTTTGTAAACCAGCTCCCTGTGAGCCGTTTCTGTTTTCACATTACATTGCCATGGTTATTCTCCTTTTGAGAGTAATCAAAAGCAAAACAGGAATTGAACAAGTCCATCCTCTTTCTGTTTCCGCTTATCCCACCTACTCCAAGCAAAGGTCTTATCCATTCTCTGACTCTCTTTTTCCCAATATGACTGTTCCTACTCCAAACCCCTTTGTGTGTGAGGGGGTAGGACTAAGCTTCTCTTGCCAGCCTCAATTCTTTTGGGGCTTTAGAATTCCTGATGCTCATTCACAGGGCAATTTTTTATTATCCCATTTCCTGCCTTTGCTCTGTTTTCTATGTTTTAAAGTCTGGGTTGATTGGTAAGCTAAACTCCTGGAAAAATCTGTCTTTACTAGGACCTACCGCTTCTCCTTTTACTTCTATATGCTTTCCAATCCAGCCACCAACCTCATTGTTTACCTGAAACTGTTCATTCCAGAGGTACTTCGAATGTCTTCATTGTCAGATCACATGGCCTTTTCTCAATACTTATCCTTCTTAATCTCTGGATTTGACTCTCCTATTCATCCTGGATATGATCATTCTGAATTTTCATGACTGCTCTCTCTTGGTTCTTCTTCACCTTGCTAACTGCTCTTTCTCAGTGTTTTTTGCTAGATCTTCATCCATATCATGTTCACTAATGTGATTGTCCCTAAAGCTCTACACTGGCCTCTCTTCACTTTTCTCTCTATGCTGACTTGCTTGGGGACCTCCTTGGTTCCTGTGGGTTCAATTATCATTAACTATGCAAATGGTTCCCACATCTGCATACCCAGCCCTAGGCTTTCTCTTGAGCTTTAGTCTCCCATCACTAACTGCCTAATGGACATTTTGAAATGGATATCCTGTAAGCATCTCATACTCATCATTTCCAAAACAAAACTCATTGTCTTCCCCAGAAAATCCTCACCTTCACTATTGATGACTGCTATCCTCCCAGTCATACAGATTTGCACCCATGGTTTTATCTTCAATTCTTCCTCTTACTCACCAAACAAATCCAGTCAGTTGCCAAATCATTTCTACCTCCATACATCCTTCTTTATACCCACTCACCACTCAGAGAACCATATCCCCAGTTGAGACCTTGAAAACTTTTACCTATTCTATTATATAACCTTCTGACTGATTTCCCTACAAGTCTCTTCTTGCTCCTCAGTGTATCTTCCACATAGCTGCAAAGTGATTTTTCCAAAAGTATAGGTCTGAAGGCCTCATTCTCTTTACTAAGTTAACTTCAGCAGCTCCCTCTTACTTCTTGGAGCAACAATAAGTTCCTCTCTTTGGCATTTAAACGGACCCTTTTTATCTTTCCAGTCTTCTAACTCTTTATTCCTTTCCATGTACACTGTGGTTGAGCCATTCTGCCCTACTTGCTGTTCCTCATAGGATACTCCATCTTCTGTTTATATTCTTTTACACTGGCTGTGTCCCAGGCCTAAAATGTTTTTCCTACTCACCTTCTAACTCTCAGAATCCCTGGCTTCCTTCAAGAATTAGCTAAAATGTTACCTTCTGCAGGAGGCCTTTCCTGGTTCCCCTACTTTCTAATGCCTTCATAGATTCAGAGATTGACAGCTTGGAAGGGAACTTAGATACCATCTGGCCCAATCCCCTCCCTTTACAGATAAGAAGATGAGGCCAAGAGATTTTAAATGACTTGCTTAGGGCCACACAGTTAATAAGTGTCTGAGGCTGAATTTGAACCAAAGTCTTTCTTGCTATAAGTCCAACACTATCCATATGCCATTTTTCCAGTCTACTTCTCTAATATTACCTTCCATCTATTCTATGTATATTTCTGTTATGCACCTATTCATGTATATGGTGTCTCCCTCATTAAACTCCTTAAAGGTAGGAGCTGGTTTTTGCTTTTTATTTTAAAGGCAGGAACTGGGTTTTTTTTTTGCTTTTTATTTTATCACCAACACTTAGATGAGTGCCTGATCCAGTAAATGGTTAGTATATATCTATTAATTGATTAATTGGTGGGTTCCCTGTGGGTCTACAGCACTTTCTTCAGACTTCATTTTTCTTCCTTATTGAAATAATTTTACTTTGACTTCAAAATTTCATTCTTGAGACTTTTTCATCTCTCCTATGTCAACTTCTATAGAATTTTAGTCCATGGGAACCTGCCTGTCTATCCTTCCTCTCAGCTATTGGAAATCTGCTTTCCCAAGGTCTAGTATACATGTCAAAATCTGACTTTGCTGTCCTCTATTATAAACGTTTTGTGAGAGTGGTAACTTCCTCCCACATTTCCCATTATTTCCATTCCAAGAACCAGTTCCTTTCTGTTAGTGAGAATTAGTTCCAATCTGAGATTTCCCTTAGTTGATTCTTTATACTTTTAAAGGATGAGTTTTACATTAAGGCAAATAAATTATTAGCTGATCTGCTTTTAGTAGAGAGAGAACTCTAGCATGTCTCTGGATAACTTCTGTCTCCTCACTACTAGATTCTAGCTCTCTGCCAGATTTATTATCTGTTTTCTGCATCCCTCATTTAGATTCTCTTTCTGGACAAGTGGCCTATCTGATGACAAAATTGCCTATTTTTTTCTTCTTTTGTGATTTTTACTCAAATGCTCTCCATTA